AGTCCACTGGCACGGCAAAATGGGCGACAAAGTGTAAGGAGCAAGTAGCTTCTAACTACCTCTTTCGCCCAGAGTCTTTAACATCTCGTCTATCAAAATATATATACATATTTATGTCACATGTATGTATGTATGTATGTTAAGGTAAGCATGTCGTGCTCACCAAGAAAATGTGTGCAACGAAAAGTCGTCAACAAAATTTGCCAAGACTTAGATGATAACCTGAAGAGTAAGAAAAATATTAATTTCTCTACAATGTAGCAGGGTTAAGCGGAGTGGCAGGCAACTATCAAGCAATTTATGATTTACTACACTCCAAGGAGTTACTTGTTGACACTTTGTACCACAGTGACGTTACGTTGCATTGGTGGTGGTAATGAAGGAGGAAATATGGGTGTGGGAGTGTGCGTAAATAGTGCCGCTTCTAACGGCAAATAAAAACTTTGAAATTCAAGTAATTTGAAAGTGTGTGCGTGCGCTCAGCTGTAGTGAGTGGGTCGGTGGCTGGAGGCTGGTGGCTGGTGTTTGTGCTGGTAATCGAAGCACAACTTTTGTGCTTTCGGACTTCTTAAGCTCATTTGTTGCAATCGTCAGTTCGAAAATAAGTAAGTAAAAAAAGAAAAAAGTAAAGAACTTAAGTCAAGTCATATAATAAGGCAAATTGCCTACAAGTGTAAGCAGCAATGTGTTGCTTAATGAGCAACGCCTGTAATTACAACTAAAATATAATTGGATTAACGGAGTAAGAGTAAACTTTTGGATTTTCATAATTAAATTGCATGTTTTGATTACGTATAATTCAAATCAATTTTTGAAACTCTTTGGCTACTTGTTTTCTTAGTGCTTGCCTTATTTGCTGGCTTTTTAATTTGAGTGAAATTTATGTCAGATTTGCTTTAAAATTTTTTGATGACGAAATTTTCGAAGTGTCAGTGTGTTGTGGATTTAAACTTAAATTTATTAATAAATTTAAATTTATTTGATTCAAAAATGAAATCGTGAAATTCCATTAACCCAAAATTTTGTAATGTTTACAACTGCTGGCGCATGCCGATAATACTGCCGTCACGCAACCTCAACCATCAGGCTGTGAGTTTTGCTTTCCATTGAATGGATAAGCGAAATGAGCGGTGTACGAGCATATGACGAAATAACTCCTGTCATGAAACAAACACTCATCGCGCTCGCATCTCATCTCTCTCATCACTGTTAAAAAATTATAACTTTGAAATCATTTATCTCGGACCCACCTTCAATGTTATCAATAAATTTAGCCTTGAAATTTAACGCAGACTTACTTTTTACTTGAAAGTGAAGTCCTCTCTCGATGAATCAAAACAAAGCACTAAAAGTCTTCTTTCATTTTTGTGTTGATGGTATAATAAGGTTGGGCAACAGCAAACACCTTTAAACGATGCTGATATAACTTAGTGATCCTGATACATTAGGCGATACTGATATAGCTTAGGGTTCAGACAGAGACTAACCCTTGGTATATCATGTTGTTCAGATGGACAACAAGTATTCCAGCTCTGAAAGTATTCGATGCAGTACCCGCTGCTGGAAGAATATGAAGAGTGAGATCTTCACTGCGTGGAAAGCATAAGGAGGAAAGCTAGCTGGCAACATTTGGTGTTTCCAATTACCGCTGAATGATCAAAAGAAGAAAACACTAGTGTCGTAATAATGACTAGGTAATACTGGTTGGAAGTAGGTAATAAATAGTTCTCAGTTTAGTTCGAATAGTCAGTTCGATTCTTCCTGATGTGCCCAGGTTTCGGTACTCTTTAAAGTACTCTTTAAAGCAGGGGACGGCACATCGCGGCATTATGCACTTTGCCTGAAAGCATACAAATGGCATCAGAAGGTTTCTAGTAAGAACCCTCAGGTCACTTTTATAGCTGCATGTGTTTTGAAAGTGTTTGGCAGTGAGGAAGTTCAGAGAGACAGCAATGAGTATACGGATGGTCAGGGCTCGAATCCCAGTCTAAACGTCCTGGAAAATTATAGAAAATTAATTATTCCAATCGCGGTCCCACAGAGTGTATTTCTGACTTGACTGCAAATTATATCTTGATCGGACGCGTATTACATCAAAAAGACACATTCAAGTGACGGTCTTGAGGTTTCCAAATAAGCAAATTAAACAATAGCGGGGAGAGGACAACACACTTCGGAACATCTCGTTTCATTTTTCTAGAATTGAAGTTTTGATTTCAATGTTTGGAGACTGCTTAGAGTCTGGGCTGAAGGGATCTAACACATTTTCTCTAGGTAGTCTCCAGGAAAGGAGTCCTCAATTTCTAATGGTAACAATTTGTGATCGTTTATCGATGGAAGGGATAAGACAGTTGTTGCTATAAGTTATTCGTAAGTTTGTGGGAAGGGAAGATCATTTTTTAATTTATGAGTTTAATAAAAAAACTGGTAGGTTAAACAGAAAATAGGAGTCTTCACCTTTTCATGCAAACAAAAAAAAAAAATTAAATAAAATAATGGAAGCCATAACTCTTTTTTTATTAGCTTAGTTATAATTCTAGTACATAGTATAACGTTTTAATTCCCTTCAAAAAATGCCATTTTATAACATTTTAACTACCTTGAATTTAATTACGCAGAAAGATACTGAAAAGCAGTAAAAAAAATACAATGCGCGCCATTGCCAACCATATGTGGCGGCAAATGTGTCATATGTGGACTTAAAAGTGCCATGAAAAATGGTTTATAATAAAAAATTTTACGCTGCATATACCTAGGTATGTACTCAGATATGCAAATGTGCTATGGCAGGGCACATATGTATACTAGCGTTCAAAATTGAGAACACAATGAAACATTTGATTACAGGGCAGAGTGAGAGAGATATTATATTTTTAACTGGTTGTCGTCTGCTCAATATTTCAAAATAATAATCAAAACAATACATCTGAACAAATTGGTTGTGTAAGGGCTGTATGATATCTTCTTCCGATTTCGATCATTTTTGTTGACAATGTTTATTTGCGAATACAAGTGTTTAATACCAAATTGCAGGCTCATAGCTGATTTCTAGGATTTTGGAAAATGCATTTTTTTTTTGTTTTTATCTAAGAGATGGCGTTATTGTCCATAGTACTAGTGTTACAAGTCGCATCATGTCATACTATACGGCACTGAAAATGTACTTATTCGCGATAAAAGTTTGTCTTTAAACAATTTTTCTATTGATTGACTCAGTACGTTGTGAGCGCTCGTCAAAGATGGACACTAGCAAAGAAAAAATTCGCTATAGTTTACAATTTTTCTTCGATTAAGGCGAACAAAATTAATTTAGTTTATGGGTCCGATACTAACGTGTAGCACAAACTGGTTTGTTAGGTTCTGTTAAAGTAATATCGATGTCAAAGGTGCACCACGCGTCGGGAGGCCTGTCATCGAAAATTGCGATCAAATCATGGAAATACGGGAAACAGACCGTTACGTGACCACTTATTTAATTGCTGAGGAGCTAAAGATAAGCCTCAAAACCGTGTGGAACCATGTGCATAACCTTGGATTCAAAAAAAAGCTCGATGTCTGGGTGCCACACGAACTAACGTAAAAAAACATGATGTACCGAATTTCCAGCTGCGAATCAGTGCTGAATCGCAACATAATCGACCCGTTTCAGAAGCGGATCGTGACTGGCGATGAAAAATGGGTCACGTACGCAAACATCGAGCGCAAACGGTCGTGGTCAAAGCTCGGGGAAGCGGTCCAGACGGTGGCCAAGACCGGATTGACGGGCACGAAGGTTTTGCTGTGTGTTTGGTGGGATTGGCAAGTCATCTACTACGAGCTGCTATGGCCAAACGCTTAATTCGGCCCTCTACTGCCAACAAATGGACCGCTTGAAAGCAGCACTCATCCAGAAGAGGTCATCTTTGATCAACAGAGACCGGGTTGTGTTCCATCAGGAGACCGCCAGGCTACACATGCCTTTAGTGACGCGCCAGACGGTCCAGGAGCTCGCCTCAGATATCGCTACTGTAAGTTAAAGTGTAGCCCAAGACTCGTATGTGTTTATTCCTCGACGTTATCACGAGCTGACACTTTCTTATGGCACATTATGGCATACTTTGCACATGTACTTACACCTATGTCCATACAAGGTCCAGCTCATACAACATCCGAAGCCAGGTGAACATTCACAACCTACATTCACGTACATACGTGGAGGAGCGAGGAGACACACTTCTCACTCGCGAGATACGTAAATGAGAAAAATTGTCGGATTAGGGGCTCAGAGAATACTCAAATACTTGAAGGGCCTCAAATACTTGAGAGGTCCAGAGCAGAATTTCTTCGAAATCAACAACGGCAAGACTATCTCTGTCGACTCGGAGCTTTATGGTCGTATGATAAATAATTTTTTTGAATATACAATTGAACAACACGACTTGGACAAAATGTAGATTCAACAAAACGATGGCGCTACGATGGGAGGGCTACGCAATAGACCGTGTTTAACTAACCTTAACTCTGGAGAACTCGAAGATCAACATACGTCAGGTTATAGCTGAGATATCGCCCAATATGTGCCAAAAAGTGGTCGAATATTACACCACTGACGAGGGGTGCAAAAACTGGCGAGGCGGTAATTTGAAAGATTAATATAAAAAATTAAAATAAATATTCTAATTGCGGTCGGCCCTGGACAGGAAATGCCAAAGAGTTTCACATATTTGGCATTATGGGTTAAACTTTTTAACAAAAACCGAAATTTCACGAAAAAGGTTTTTTTCAATTACAAAAAAAAATATTATAAATAATAATAAAAAATAAATGAACAAAACAAAATTAAAAAATGAAATGAAATATAAAAATACACTATAAACTCAGTTCTGACCGTCAGTGTTTTCAAATATGTACATACATTTATGTATGCGGATGTCTGCAAATATGCATAGCATTTACACAACTTTTTATCCACTTTCCCTCCTCCCATCCTTCTTGCCCCGCATAACCGTTTCTCTACTTACCATCTTTGATCGAGTAACGTGGATTGCTCATATCGACTTTTGTTTGATTCTTAATCCAGTAGATTGTTGGCGTCGGATTACCAATGGCTTTGCATTGCATTACCGCTGTATGGCCGACTTCGATGACACGTGTGCTGGGACCTTGAGTTATTACAGGAAAACCGGGTGGCGTTTTATCACCTGTAAGTATAAAAGAGCGAGGAAAAATAATGAAAAAACTATTTATATATCTATGTATCTACATACATATATAGTATATTTATATATGCAGAAAAATATGTTTGGTAAACATAAGAAGGCGCTGCTGGTAAAAATACATACTTACATATTTATGTATGAAGGTTTTTTTTATTTTTTTGCTAAAATAAATAAAAGAGTAATCCACATAGATTCCTCCAAAGTGAATGTATTAAAATGTTACGAACACACACACCCACACACACACACATGCAAAAACAGAGAGATCTGCAACTGAAAGCTGCTTGGACATTCTAGGGTTCTTTGTATTAAAGTCATCAACAGTGTAGAGGTGAAAAGCCGGCAAAATACTACAGCACATATAAAGTATTTTACTACCAAAAGACAAAAAAAATATATATATATTTCTTGCATTTGCATATGAATTAAGTGCGACAGTGTGGTTGGGGGTAATTAAATGAATTTTACGCTTGCATAATAGCTGCATTTTACCGCGCTCTCCCTAGCAGAAGCTTACATACAACAACAGCCTTACTCGTTCATATATACATATGTATGTATATTTGTATACATTAGCCCCCAGCGTATCGCACACCAAAACTATGTGCGTACGACGACCGCATGCATATCCTTTCGCTCACAAAATATTTATGCGCTCAACCTTTGTTCGGTAACATATGTGCGCGCTTGTTGTCGTAATCGTCTTTGTTCGTGTTGGTGTGTATGCAACACAGCGTCCAAATGAAATGGTTGAAAACTATTTGGGAACTAGTATAATTAAAGAAAGAAAATAGGAAGCCAAGTAACTCCCAAGTGTCAGATTTTGAACATATTTATACCAGTCTCATACTAGAACTAATGTACCTAAAAGGTAATGGCTCCAAGTTGACAAAAGGGAAATCAGGTTTTTTTTTGGAGCCAAACATTGCATATTAGTAAAAAGTAATCCATCATTCTTTCATAGCCATCTTTAGTGATCTGTATCTCATGCTCTATAAGCCCGATTGAATCACGTTAGATGGCGTTGGAAAGATGGTAGTTTTTGCTAAAAAAGATAACGAGTGCAGTGTTGATCACTTAACCCAGTAGTGTTTGAGGGCATGTCAAAGATGGACATCAGCATTCTGCAAATTTTCTTCGATAAAGGCTAAAGCGCAGTTGGCCAGCTGAAAATGTAGATAGTGTGCATGGTGCTGATATTGAAACAACCAATCATGCACAGATTTGGTATGCTACATTTCGTTCCGATAATTTTGATATAACAGATGATCCACAGCGTGAAAGGCCAATCGTCGAAAATATGAATAAAATAATAGAAAACATTGACAGTTTGGATGTGATATGAGTTAATGAGAAATAACCTCATGGACCGTATTTTCATTTGGGAATCGTAGCTGAAACGTAACAAAATCGACCCATATTTGAAGCGTACGATGAATAAAAACGGTCGTGATCGAGGGGCCGTTAGACAGCGCAAACGGTTTCCCAGCCAGAAAGATTTTGTTGGGTTCTTGTTAGAACTGGGATAAGGAACTGGATAAAGGAATCAGCCACTTTGAGCTGCTTCCCTATGGCATAACTATTAATTTGGACCTGTAATGTCAGCAATTGGATGGTCTGAAGAAAGCAGTCGTGCAGAAGCACCAAACTTCAGCCAACAGGAGAGGAATTGGCTTTCATCAGGACAACGCCAAACAACAAACGTCGGTAATGACTCGCGAGAGCCCGGTAGGTAGGCTATTATACTACGACCATATTATCTGGGCCTCATACCGAGTGATTAAAATCTACACCTGCCTGATTTAGCCTCAAAAAAAAAGTCTGTGAAAATTGCTTATCTCAATTTTTTGCCAATAAAGGCCAGGGTTCCGTAAGAGAGGCATAATGACATCATCTTCATAGTGGCAAAAAGTTATCGAGCAAAACGATGCATATTTGACATAGTAAATCGAATAGCTCTGTTTATGGTAAATATTCAATGTAATGCAAAAAAAAAAACAAAAATTAAATTACATCTTACTTGATCGATTGGTACCTAAATTATATATTAAGAATTAGCCAAAAGTGTGAACGTAACTGTCGCCAGTTTGCAAGTTTCTATACAAATACGAGTATGATTTCACCAAGAGAAAGATGAAGTTTCAGTCGTGAACTAGTTTTTTTTCTGACCATTTTCACCGCAGAATCCTGCTGGTATTTCGCGTAAAAAAACTTTCAACAGCAAATGGCGGTAATTGTCCTAGCTGTTGTCGTTTTTATGCTCCTTTTCCATTTTTGCACAATTTTGCATATGAAATTAAACTTTTTCCCATATGCATATTTATGTATTTTTTTTCTTTGAATATTTTTGTTTTTGTCACTTTTTCCAGAGGAATGTTTTAATTATCTTTTACATTTATTCATTTTGTTAAAAGGGAAAAACACTATCAATGTTGATAGCTGAAAAAGTTCGGCTCGGGCTGTTTGAACTGAAAAGTTTCAGCATTTTTTTATTCAATTCATAAATCTGCATAGAGCCTGAAGATGTGTTATACATATATACACATACAAATAAACCAAAAAAATCCAGCAACTACGAATGCAAAAAACTGTTGAAAATGTGTTCAAGAATTTCGAATGTGTTCGTGCCTTAAGAGGAAATTGTGGTACGCATAATCGTCTAGAAAATTATAAAATTATTTTAAATAAAAAATTGAGTTAAATTTTCTAATTGCGGTCGCCTCGTGGCCAGCGAATGTCAACCTCTCCGATCGTTTTTATGGCAAGGAATAAAGGTTCCCCACCCTAAAAACCACCAGCCAATCGGAAGCGGTCCCTCCTTTTGTTGGAAAAGCATCAGGACGCAAAACCACAAATTAGAGGAGGAGCTCGATCGAAAAACGCTTCAGCGTTTAGAAATCGCCAAATCGCTAACTAGTCAAGTAATTGGTAAAATCTTAAGAAACTTCGAAGATATTGTAAGGCCTATGTGTCATCGTTTTGCTCCTTACTCTAAGTTAAAGGATAGCCGAAGACTCGTATGCGTTTAGCTTCGACGCTCTCAAGAGCTGACACTTTCTTACGGCACATTATGGCATATTTTGCACTTGGACTTACGCCTACTCCCATATAAGGCCCAGCTCACACAACATCCGAAGCCAGTTGAAAATTCCCAACATAAGTATGTAAATAAGCAAAATTGTAGCATTTAGGGGCTTCGAGAAACCTCAAATTATAGAGAAGAAGCCATTATACCATGGTCAGGAGGTATGACAGAACCTTACTTCTTTTAAAACTCCAACGGAAAGACTATCACTACCAATTCGGAGCCTTACGGTAGTGTGATATACGACTTTACTTGGTCAGCATTTAAAGAATGCGACGTAAGCAATAAGTGATTTCAATAAGAAAGTGCCATATGCCACACAATACGAGCGAGAATGACTTTATTCCGATAGAAAATACCCAACCGCAATGCTAACCTTACGTCGTGCCGATCTCAATTGGCCACCGAGATCATGAAATTCGGTGAAATTGCACTTTTTTGTGGGGCTACGCAAAGGACCGTGCTTATATGGATAACCTTTACTCGTGAGCGCTTGAAAACACAACATTCGTTAAGTTTTCGCTAACATACCGACCAATATGCGCCGAAAAATAGTCAAAAATTAACTCAAGCGGAAGCAAATAATCATGTTAATGCTCCGGTTTTCTTGAAATTTGGTACATACGTAGCTTTTTAGCTTTCGACCAATTTGAAAACTCTTTTTTATTTGTACCAGTAATATTTCATTTTCTATCCGAAAATTCCATTTTAATTCGGGATATAGTGTTGGAGAAATAAGCGTATTTGTAAAAACATCTCCGATAATTCGAGAGAAGATGGAGTATAAGTCGGATACTTTTAACACGTTGTTCTGAAAACAATGCCTTCAAATTGAAACTCAGAACGAATTATTCGATTTCTACCTGTGGTTAGGGTTATTCATTTATTGTATATTTAACAAAAATAAATATTATCATATTTCTCACGAATACTACAGATATTTGGAGATGTATTGTATATAAATTCGTACCTGAACATTGCCTTCCTATCAGATCACTAGATCTGGGCCGGCAATCCAACGTATGCCCTGTATGTGGAGAGTCTCCTATCGACACTAACCTTAAACCTGCTCACAAGAGTTTTTTTTCTAGTGGAGACAACAGCAATTAAAATGAGCATCAATCAAGTCTTATAATATCCTCCTTTCCAGATCACTTAAGTAAGAACTTTCGGTATTCTACTTCGCTGCCCTTAAACATGATTTAGCTTGTTAAGGTGTTCCATCTCACCTTAAACTGTTTTCCAGTTAAATTCCTTACACAGGATCTGTTAGGTTTTTTTAGTTTTTTCTGTTTAAGATCAGTCGCAAGACCAATACGCTTCTGGCAATCTTTTCATTTATTACAAATTCCCGAAATCCCTTTGTGGCTTTAAGTCCCGTAGATATGAAAATGCTTTTGGCAGCGGAGGAAGGAAGCTATTGCACTATATGCTGATATACATATGTAAATGGCTTTTTCTGCGACATGAGGCAGTTCAGCAGCTCTCCTTACAGCGAAGACTTCCACAAGTAATCGGGCAGCCTTTAGCATTGTCTAAATATTTAAATAAACAATCAGCTCTGTGCCTTAACCTAACCTAACAATTTTCATAAGACAAAAAATAATTATAAGAGAGCTATTCCTTGGTAGAAGTCTATACCATAACCAGCCACTGGAATTTTTTATTTTGCTAATACATACATACGTTCATACGTACATACATATATTTATAAATTTTAAGCTGAGCTTTCCCTTTTATTTCCCTTCACAAGTATTTATACAGAAAAGCACTTAGATTTACCACAACGTTTCGACGCTTAGCTTGGTTGGTTTGTTGGCGTGTTGCGCGAAAAATTTTAATTTCACGCCAGCCACACTGGCATAAGAAGCAACAAAACGTAGAACAACATAAATAT